TGCCGACCAAGGGCGGATCGACGATCGAAAACGATGAGAGCCGGAAACGAAAATTTCGCGACGATTCTTAGGGATTTTCTTAGGTTTCCTTTATGCGAACGCGTGAGTTTTGCCGCCGTCCGTCGATCGACGCTTTATCGACACCCACGCGTCTCTTTGGGTTTATGTCCTCTCGTACTATCGTATCGTTATCGCGATCATTATCTATGTGGTTGTTAACCGTCGCGGTTAATGATTATTTGATGAGTTACAGTCCTTACATGTTACGACTTATGGTTTACGTTACAGAGAGTATCTTACACACTAAGTTTCTCTTTCCAAAAATTGGGAAGTCTGCCGTTTTTGTTTCTTGTTTTCTTTCCTTTTTTTTCTTTTTTTTTTCTTTGTCCCTTATTGTAGGGCCGTCGTCGACTTCATCGTCTAACACGCATACGGTTTTTGTCGATATCAAAATCGAACGGCGCCTTTTGCGGGAAAAGGATGCTTCTTATTATCCACTTTGCCTTTTCTCAAGGGCATATAAAAGAAGCAATTGTCCTCGACACGGTAGCAGACTTAATTAGCCGGTTACCCTAATTTGCAATCACGAAGTAGAAGCAACAAAACTTTGTCATGCCTGTCGCATTTCCATTTTTTTTATTTTGCAGCTTGGCTTTTATTATAAGAGATTATTTAATCACTTTGACACTTTGACAAAACGCGTCAGTCTTTTGCTCTGATGCAATAAAAATAAATCCTCTCTCACCGTTTCTTCCTTCGTACTTTTGTTCCCGGTTCGGACGAAGCTTCGTCGTAACTTAATAATTAAAAGCAATGCACTTTTATGTCTTAAAGAAGCGCGATTTATAAGCGTTCTTTTTTCACGAATAGATCCTGGCAAACTTTTGTACTTTAATAATTATTCTGTAATTAAGATTGTGATTGTAACATCGCGAAAAATTTCGAGATGAAATTGGGGAAAGAAGTGAACGAGTAAAATAATGGTAATTTTACATAAAAAAAAGTGCACGAAAACAAAACTTTTAAATCCAATGATATGTTCCGAATACTATTGACGAGTGACATTATCTATGTTGTTTAAAATATTTCTTTTTTATCTTAAATGGGATTATATTATTACGTCGATATTCAATTACGAGTTAAGAAGCGTGAAAAAGTTAAAGTGCACAAAAATATAGCGTATTTATCAATTTCCCGTTTTTCTCCTTCATGATTGCAGATCGAATGCACCAGACTTCCGTAACACTAGGTTTACAATAAAATCACGTAAAAATCGTTTGACGATTTAAGGCGTGTCTAAAGAAAATTTTACAAAACCATAACGTGATTTCCAGGTGATGAGGTTCATAAAAATGCCGTTCTCTCATTAGAATTTCGGTTCGTTATTAGAATCGCGTAATATGTCAATGAGAAAACGCCGTGAAGGAATCGAGTTTACGCTACCATTATTAAATACGCGAAGTAACAAAAGCTCGTATCTCAAGTTTGCAATTCGCTTAAAAGAATCTGCACTTGCGTTTGCACATTCCCTTAGTATTTTATTTACTGTATGTATCTGAACGTAAAAAAAAAAAAAAAAAAAACTGGCTGGTAACTATAACGTATTTAGGATATGATACTAGAAATCGAAAGGTATTATCGAACACTATGCAAACGTGGCCCTCGATACGATCGTCGTTCTTTCGATACAGATTTTAATGTTTCTCCGGGCACATTAACCGGGCGCTTCACACTCGAACGCAATTCGAATTACGAGTTCTCTGTAATAAGACAGAAGTTAAATATTTGAAGATAATTTTTTTACTCGCGATAATCTCGACAGAAATAATTCGCAGCTTCCACTTGTTACAAATTTATAAAAAAAATTTATAAAAAATTTATTAAAAAAAAAAACAAAAAAAACAATTAAAACACACTCGAATTTATATACCCGTAATATTAAATTGCACAGAAAATCGCGCAAGAGAGGAAAAGCTAAGCGACTCTCGTGTACTCATTCACGCATATGCACATCACGCAATTTTGCGAAATGAGGTAATTAATCGAGCGTCCCACTCTGTCCGGTATGAATTTTATTTCGGCAATCGTTTTAAAAGTTGCGAGAGGGAAACGGATATATATATAATCACGATCTGAGATGACGTCGTGACTGCGAATTGTACGCGCGTGCGAATCTGTATTTCTTTAATTATGTTTATCGAATAGACAAATTACGTTGCCCCGTTTTCCTATGATTAAGTGATCTGTCTATTAATCAATGAACGGATAGATGACTTTTATGCCCGAAAGAATCGTCTCTAAATCATTGTTCACGTAACTTTTACTATTGCGGAATGTTATCGGACATCGTATTACTCTGATAAATTTTCTGGTAAAAGTTTAAGTAAATAGACGATATTAAAAGCCAACGTAGCTTATTACAGCATAAAAAAATGTAACTGTATATGTGTATAAAGAGATATCTTTACTCCGTTTTTTTCTATTCCGAATGATTTAGCTAATTAAACCAACGAACGCGGGCGAAGATAACGTTTATGCTCGAAAGAATTATTTCCTGGTTTATTTTTCGCGTAAGCTTCTCTACCACAGGATACATTATCGGGTGTTATTTTACAATAGAAATTCAAACGAAGGTGTAATACCGAACGTACACGTACGTAACTTATTGTTAACAGGAATAATAACAGTTGCGTGTGATGTACGTAGAGATACCTCTCTTCACATTTGAAATATTTAGATAATGGAAATGGAATGATTCGATATAGCATAAAGGAAAATTTTGAAATTTATCCCTGATTCAAATACAATGATTATTCATCGCTATAACTCGACGAAATTCTCCCCTTCTCGTATTCCCTGATCTTTCCCCGAACAATTTCTTCCCATCTCATACATGAATGACAGTGAATTCCGCGACAAGGATATCCACGAGATTTAACTGTAATTATATAGAGGAAACAAGAGCGATTTATTTAACGAAGAAATTGTTCACGCCTCTCGTGGAAATATCCCCTGCGGCAAGTGACTATAGGCGAATGACCTAAACTAACCGTCAATAGTGATTAATTATCATTTATATATACGTATATATATATATATATATATATATTATTTTTATTATAATAAAAAGTAGATAGAAATTCTTTGTAACTATCTACCATTTAACAGTAAAGACGTGTTCTGCTCTCTAATTTCAGTTGCTGAGTGAAGGTACTACTTTCCCTTTCGTATAACGTTCACCGTTACATCTCTTACACTTGATCTTCACCGATGCACTTTTCACTCCACGTCTTGTACAGTTGTTTTACACGGCAACGTCCTCTTGCGCTATTTCTTTTTTTTTTTTCTTTTTAAACTTTAACAGTGGCTTGCACGTTCTTTTTTTAGTGTGTTTTATGTATAATACACGTATTATATATCGTAATTTATTCATTTTCTTTTGTGCATATAACTTGAAAGAGGCAGTATTCCCGACGGCTTCTCGTCGTCCATCGTAAAACAAGTCACGAAAGTGTCGTCGGCACATTCTTCACGTTTCTTCCCTTTCTTTCCTCCTTTCCCCCTTTTTTTTTTAACTACATCGCACGCGTATGCGCTATGACGATTATTTTATAATTGAAATAGGACCCAACGTCATAATCCCGTAGATCTCGTCTTGCTGGACACTGTTTTTGTAATGTTAACGAATGGATAGCTTAAAAAAAAAAAGACACACATTCGAAAAACACAAAGAAAATGTCGGGATAACGAAATTATAAGACACGCGAGTGTGTAACTTGCGGAGGGAGGAAACAGAAAGCGAAGAAGCGGTAAAAAAAATAACGGAAACGCTACGTTTGAGTCTTTTTCCAAATATTTTTATTCGCATATACTCTTAAAAGCTCAAAAAAGAGGAAAAAAAAGATTGATTTTTATCAAAACTGTTTTCATGCCGTTATTTTTCCTCCTGCGTCGCAGTTGGTCTACCGTGTGCCATATTATTCGAAAAAGGAAAAATAAATCAACCAGTTAAGGTCAGCTTCTGCAAATCTTGTTTGCGCAAACAAGGAGACGTTAAAAAGAATTTTTTTTTTTACAAAGTTTCAAAAGCTGGTTTTATATGCTTCACGCGCGTGCCATCAATATGACTAGAGGCTTTGTCAATTTTGCATTATTTGTCGACAATTTTCTTTTTTTTTTTTTTTTTTTCGTAGTTGTATCAAAGATACGAAATCATATTGTTCCAGGCTTCAAGATACAAAAGGAAGATGCTCCCTTGAGAAAGCCATAGGAATCGCGAAATGCAAAAAGCACAGATCTGTTTCCATTAAACTGTTCACTAAAGTTTCCCATTCCTTCGTAATTCTCTGCTCTAAGATTATTCCTTTTTCTGCTTCGAAGCTACTTCGAAAGTGAATCGAAAAGCGAACGCTTTATTCGCGTTTCTGCCTCGCGCGTTTAACGTGGCGCTCGATCTCGAATCGAACTTTGGAAGAATTCTTAATAGTACAAAGAATCGAAGGAACAAGGATCTCCTCTTTCGAGACGAAGAAAGATCTTTTGCCCGTTTGATATCTACAAGTACAAAGCGTTACGTAAGCGAGATTAGTCGAAGAGTTTATACATACGCGTAAAAAAAAAAACGAATTTTGCGAAATGTCGAATGTTTGAGGTTTAACGTTTCTCGAAAATTGTCGGAGATCTCATCGATATGCTCGCTTGCTCCGTAGCCATATTACATTTATTCTCGTATTTTGGTTCCACTGGGAAAAAAATTGTTCGATAGTCGCTTTCCGGAATCCACGCATCTTTCACTTAACTTTACCAATATTAATAACCCATTCATTCTAATAACTTAACGTATTTTAATTGTAACATATAATAATTTTTTATATATACAAATTATATATTTTATTCGTAATTAAAACAAACATTTTCTCAGATGAAAATGGAGCGCGCTGAACTAAAAGTATATTAATATATATATATATATATATATATATATATATATATATATATATATTATAAAAGTAAGTAAACAAATAATAAAATATTTAAGTTAAGTCAAATCTTTTCATTACAAACAATTTGAAAAAGGAAAACGTGTATCCAATCACAGTTTAAGTTAAAGTTAAAGCTTCAAATTATTGTTTATTTATCTGACTTACTCTAATAAAATTTTTGAATAACAATACATAGGAATATATAGGATTTTGCTTAACAAATTTTATTTTATATTTTATTATTTTATATTGTACTTTAAGACGCAAAAATGATTAATTATGACTGATATTAATTAATAAAGTCCAAATTAAATTGTGTAATCAAATTTTTATATATAAAAAGCTAGCAGCTAGCATTTAAAATTAAAATTAAAATTAAAAGCATTGAAATATTTCTTTGTTATAATTAATGTTTATTTTAGGATTAAAGAAAAATGCTAATGCTAAAAGTCGCTTAGTTTGCAATAAAATTACGTGTGTAATACGAGAGAGAGAGGAAGAAGGAAAAAAAGTCATCATCTGGCGTGAACCCAACCGAGCGAGAAAATGCCCGATGTCTGTGCCGCCAAGTCTTCCTCCCGTTTATTAACCCACGAAGGATGCACCCTCGTGTTATATCTGGTTATGTCAAGCTTTCTTATTCGCCTGATATTATACGGATTACATTATTCATGCTTTTCTTTATTCGGACGCTTTTTCGACGAGGACGATGTCGCTGACGACTGCAAAGAGAGAGAGAAAGAGAGACAGAAAAAGAGAGAGAGAGAGAGAGAGAGAGAGAGAGAGAGAGAGAGAGAGAGAGAGAGAGAG